AACACACAAAACAATTGTCTCATAATTAGTAATATATGAAACAAGGCAAAACTAAACTGCGAGAAAAAAATTGAGAAACGAGAAAGCACGAATTAATATTTGAGCCTGCAGGGGTGGCCTTAGCTGTTGTTCGCCACACCCTATATCTTTACCCTCCCAACCATGGTCCTTCTTGTAATCGTTAGCGACAGACCCCAAAAGTATTTACGTATACATCAGTTTGTTAGTCTCCCATGCCATAAGTAAGAAAACTTAAAAATTCATCATCATTATAATAATCCTTGTTTTTCAAAATTCGGAAATAACTCTTTAACAGCCTCAAGTTGCTGTTTTTCTTTTACTGTTAATGGGTATTTTTCCTCCTCTTCACTTACTTCTATTTCCTCATTCAATATAGAACTAATGATCCCAGGAGCTAATTCAAAAGCTCGCCAGAAATCTATACCTAATATTAACCTCTGGGCTATAGACGGGATTATGAATAGTTCTACCTCTTTCTCTTTATTTTGATATTGCATTTATACTTTGAGACTTCCTAGAACTTGGTGAGACTTGGCTTCAGCGGTTCGGACTTGAGACAAAATTGCCTTAAAATTGGGATACTTTGAAAAGTCCGTAAGCGCTAGGGATGAACCAATACAACTTATGTTGGTCCCTGTATCAAGCAAACCTAGTTCAGAAAAATCCAAGAATGCTACGCTGGCATAACTACGACGATCAATGTTGTTTTGAAACACAGTTGACACAATCATAGTTTTCTTCTTTTTTAACGAACGATAGTACTTTCGCATCCTGAGGGTATTCCGTCTACTCTTTTTCACGAGTCCAGCAAAAATTCGTTCTCTTACTAGATAATAGTTTCTTAACCTCTCATGATAGGGCTTAAATAATATATTAACTTCAGGATTCGACTTTTGATCTAACTTATTTTCTAAGATGCGAAGCTTTTCAACATCTGTTCTTGAGCTATCTTCTACTTCTGGGACACCCTTCCTGGATTGGATGCCCCCCCCTTGCCGGTTTTCCGCCTTTCGCTTGCAGTTTTGGCAATTGGGTGTATATATTTGCGGGGCTCCGCAACCATAACAAAAAATACGTCTCTCGGCCAAGCAATTTTCCCATATGTGACCGGGAGCCTCACAGTTCCAACACAACAAAGGAGTTGTGCGTTGAATTGCTGCAATTTCGTTATCATCCTCACATTCCTGAGTCTCACTGAGTTGGTTGTCCTCCACCGCGTATACGCGATATGGTCCGGGCTTAGTTTGTGGTGGCCGCACTCGGCCTGCTTATGAACCAACCTTCGTAACTCGGAAATAGATGAAATGTTTTCAAATAACAATCTCTCATTCATGTCGATCAATAGATTTCCTTGTATCATCTCTACTAGCTCGTCTTCTTCAAAACTCACTGATAGTCTATCCATGAGCTTACAAACACTCTCATAAAACGTATCGAACGACTCTCCTGGCTTTTGCTTCCGGGAGCGAATTTGTTCACGTAACTCTGTTGCTGTTCTGCTCTCACGATATTGTTCTCGAAAAGCAGCGCAAAATTCTCTCCAGTTGAATGTTTGAACCCTTTTATGGTATCTCCAGAACCAACTACTAGCTTTACCAATTAAAAGATGATGAATATTTCTGCTGATAATTTCTAGATCACCGTCAAAATGTTCAACTGTCAAAATCTTCACTCGGTATAGAAATTCCTCTACCGATAATCCCTCTACTGTTCCATCAAACCTTACTCCCCATTTCTGAAGAACATCTGCGATTTTATGTGGACCAAGAGTATGCATATGCATACCATTTGCGGACCTATAACTTCGAAGTGTACCTGGGCTTGCATGTTCAGCTACTTGTCCGGGTGGCGGTGCTAGGCTCCCACTTCCTGACATAGATGACAAAACCCGAGTCGCTGTTTCTCGAACGATAGATTCTATCTCCGCTCGCGGTACACTATTGGCTACTGGCGGATTATTCTGTCTTCTTTACCTTGGAGGGCGACCTCGTCTAACTGGTGCGTTGGCGACTTGATCTGATCTTGCCCTAACTTCTTGATTCGTAGGCGTACTTCCTGGTGGATGTTGGTTTTCTGAATTTGATAAATTTGACTGGTCATGAACTCTGACCAGAACCTCGGCTTCCTATGGCTACCTACAACTACTTTCCAATCTTTTGGCTGTACTGCTTTTAAGCAGCAAGGACACTCTTTATGTACTGGTACATGTGTTTCCAAACATTGCTTATGAAAAATGTGATTACAATGCGTTATAACACAAGGTTGTGTGTTTAGCATAATTTCTTCGCAAATAAGACAGATATTTGCTGCCGAATCTGCTTGATGCTGAGTTTTTCCTGACTCAAAGCTGTGTTCAAGTGGCATACTTAACAATTTTTTTTTCTTATGGCGTTTTCAGGGAGACATAAACAAAAGATGCATACTTCTGGGCTTTCTACTAATTCTGTGCTTTATGAATTTATTTAAATTGGGCTATTGCAATTAGTAAATGTAATTCTTGTGCATGACCTCCATTATCTACTTTACTGTACAGTTTTCTACGGACAATAAAACACATATGCATTTATATTGTATTCCAGTAGCTTACCTCTAGTTCGTTTTCCAACAATGATCACACAATAGAACACATTGGATCAAGACTTTCTCTTACTTTACTCAAGTTGTTAATTATTCTGATAGCAAGCTACCTGTAATCTCGGTCGAAAATTTCCGAATACTCAAAAACTCGATTTCCAAAGATGTATAACAAAATCAATCAGTTTTCTTGACTACTTTCATAATGGTAATAAAAATCTCATCAAAGACAAAGAGCTTTCAGATTATGACTGTTGTAACAACCCGATACTGTTCTCACAAATTACAAAGGCTAAAGCGAAAAACGATTTCGTTTCAGCTCTGTCACTCGTTAGATCATACGTTGATGTTATTTGGTTGCAAGCTATTTTATTCCAAAGAATTTTCTTTTTCAGAATTAAATTTCTACGGTCGATGCCTATCAGCACTCGCTAATAATGGATCGCTTTCCAATAGTCTATTTAAAACTTACTAAAGCTTGATTTACAACTTTCAATAATCAGGGGTTAGTACCTATACAAAACAAACATTTAAGCACCTGCCTTTTAGCATTAGCGACTGCACGGTAAATCGAAGGGCTGATCGCACCTGCCTGCTGGGCCAAAATATATGTACCGTAAACGACTTGCCCCACACGTGCGCCAAAAATCTATGTGACGTAATTTCGCCGTTGAAAGGGGAAAACATAAACAGGGTATCGTTGTTCTCGATCATACCTCCGAGTGTTAACCACATTCAGGCTTGTCGACCCTTAACCAGCAGCTGAGCGGGACCCATTGATTCCTAGCTCTAGCGGGAGATGTGGGGGGGGGGTTTTTGCTGCGGATAAGGATTGTTACGTCAAAGGTTTTTATTATAGAGTCCCTCCTGAATCTACACAATGAGACGATCCTCATTCGAAACCAACACACAAAACAATTGTCTCATAATTAGTAAAATATGAAACAAGGCAAAACTAAACTGCGAGAAAAAAATTGAGAAACGAGAAAGCACGAATTAATATTTGAGCCTGCAGGGGTGGCCTTAGCTGTTGTTCGCCACACCCTATATCTTTACCCTCCCAACCATGGTCCTTCTTGTAATCGTTAGCGACAGACCCCAAAAAGTATTTACGTATACATCAGTTTGTTAGTCTCCCATGCCATAAGTAAGAAAACTTAAAAATTCATCATCATTATAATAATTTTTAATAATCAAACAAAAATTCCTTTTCCATATTTTTCAGTGTACATATCTCCAATTAACAATAATAAACGAAGTCCTAATATAATTATTTTTCTTCATACATGTCTGCTAGATTTCAATGACTAATTTATTTATTTATTAATTATTAAACCCTATCATTACATAGCCTATTTTATTTACTTATGTTAATATAATTATTTATTTAATCATTTAAATTTTTTCCAGTGTCATTTTTAATTCTATTTTGTTTCGTTTAAAACAATGATAATGGTAAGGTGGTGCCTAATTATGATGCTATAAAATTATTAATTATGAAAATATAACTATGTCCATTTAATTGTTTTTATTTATTTATTTTTTTTTTTTTTTTTTTTGTTTCTTTTTGGGCCTACATAATTTTCTTTATTGTTATTCTATTTTTTTGTTTAGCTTCAACAACCTACATCGCACAATTACAATAAAACAGTTTTTATTGCTGAAAAAAGAAAATATGTATATGCAAAATAACAAAATAATTAGTTTTTAATTTTCTCAGTGTAGCGCATGTTTTGGCTTTACATTTAAATGCTTTAAATTTACGAGGATAACATGAATCAGAATAAAAAAGAGGAATTGGAAAAATAACAAAAATCAATCGATGCTGATAAGCATTAATGCCGGTAATCAGCCTTTACACTGGGCGACATAAGTTGTTGTCTGTTTTCACTCACCCACTTTGTTGTTCTCGAAGAAGGCCTTCTTGTCGATGCTGTTTTGGAGTGTATTAGGGGAAAATTAAAATTTAAAAATATAGCCGCATGATTTTTTAGTTACGTTTTCATATTTGATATTAATTATACAGCTACATATTATTTATTTTATTTTACTGTGTTTAGTTACGTTTTAATTTGTTTTTTGTATTCTTACTGGCAACGAAACTTTTTATTGCACTGTACGATTTTAGTTGGATTTGCTAAGCTCACGGTCTTGTTTTTTTTTTCCTAGCATATTGCCTGCTCATATGCATCACCATCACCATCACTGTCATGGTTTTTATTTTAACACCTTTTACATGCCTATTTTAAATTTTATTTCTTATCCGATTTGGGGCACTTCAATAATAATTCATTTCATAATTTGGCAATAATGATGATGTTTCGAGAGGGTTTAACTCTATTGGTATTTAATAAAAAAAAAGATTTATATATATGTATTTACACTATTCTGCATGTTTTTTTTTTTCTGTTTTGAGGTCGGGTTTTTTCTTAAGATTTTACATTTTTACTAGTCGTGTATTTAATGAGTTGTTTTAACCCATTTCCTCGTCTTCGTTAACTTTTAATTTGTCACTAGATTTTAAGGGTTTTTAATTTTTAATTTTTTTAAATCTGCACTGTGTTTCACACGTTTATTTTTGGGTCACTTTTTGTGGGTTTTTCTCTGCTCCAAGCTGCTGCGAACTCCAAATAAATTTTCCCCAGCAGAGATAGCTGTTCCAGCCGCCTGTTTTTGGCCGGCGCTGAATAGCGTAACCAATCTGCTCTGCTGCCTCGTTTATCTACAGGAATTAAAATAATTAATGTTGTGCAAACGAGCCCAGGAATATTTTTAGAAATATTTACCCAGTGCTTCCTTTTCTTGTATTTTTTCTGCTCAATCGACCTAGCGATTTCTCGCCGTGTAGTCGAAGAAAATAAGCGTGACCTACACGTGCAAAGAAAATATTATTATATGTCGATCGGCTTGGACATTTTTTTTATAAAAATATTTACCTTGCCGACACGGCAATCTTTGGCAGCCGGTAGATTGGCGTTTGTTGATGGCCTTTTCAACCGATGCCGAAATAGCAGTGGGATTAGGGTCCGGAGCACATGTGCATATGCTCGCTCGTATATTTTCCCTGCTGGGTTCGGGACCAACTTCTCAGCTTGACGACTCCAATAGAAAAGATCGAAGCCAGAAGCTGGAGACCCAAAGAACCCTTCACCGATTTGCACTTCGGTATTCACCAGCTGGTGGTTTCAACTGTCATTTTTAAGACGTTGCCAGATAAGAGGTCGATACTAATTATCGCTACTATTTTTAGGCGCGGATCATTTTAATTTCCAAAAAATACTAAAAAGTTTTTATATGGGTCCATTACAGTATGCAAATGTATTAGCCTTCTAAAAACTAATATAAGTACAAATTCTGCCGTGGATACATGCATTATTAGCTGAGTTGTAAACTTTTTGTTTTCAAAATTACACTCAATTGTAATTGCAAATGTATTAGCCGTGTAAAAACTATTATAAATACACATTCTGAAGTGGATACAGACATTATTAGCTGAGTTATGAACTTTTTGTTTACAATTTACAATTGAGTGTGCAAATGTATAATGTAATGGACCCATATAAAAACTTTTTAGTATTTTTTTAAATTAAAATGATACGCGCCTAAGAATAGTAGCGATAATTAGTATCGACCCCTTATCTGGCAACGTCTTAAAAATGACAGTTGAAACCACCAGCTGGTGAATACCGAAGTGCAAATCGGTGAAGGGTTCTTCGGGTCTCCAGCTTCTGGCTTCGATCTTTTCTATTGGAGTCGTCAAGCTGAGAAGTTGGTCCCGAACCCAGCAGGGAAAATATACGAGCGAGCATATGCACATGTGCTCCGGACCCTAATCCCACTGATATTTCGGCATCGGTTGAAAAAGGCCATCAACAAACGCCAATCTACCGGCTGCCAAAGATTGCCGTGTCGGCAAGGTAAATATTTTTTATAAAAAAATGTCCAAGCCGATCGATATATAATAAAATTTTCTTTGCACGTGTAGGTCACGCTTGTTTTCTTTGACTACACGGCGAGAAATCGCTAGGTCGATTGAGCAGAAAAAATACAAGAAAAGGAAGCACTGGGTAAATATTTCGAAACAATTCTTGGGCTCGTTTGCACAAGATTAATTAATTTAATTCCTGTAGCTAAACGAGGCAGCAGAGCAGATTGGTTACGCTATTCAGCGCCGGCCAAAAAAGGCGGCTGGAGCAGTTATCTCTGCTGGGGAAAATTTATTTGGAGTTCGCAGCAGCTTGGAGCACAGAAAAACCCACAAAAAGTGACCCAAAAATAAACGTGTAACACACAGTGCAGATTAAAAAAAATTTAAAATTAAAAGCCCTTAAAATCTAGTGACAAATTAAAAGTTAACGAAGACGAGGAAATGGGTTAAAACAACTCATAAAATACACGACTAGCTAAAATGTAAAATCTTAAGAAAAAAAACCCGACCTCAAAACAGAGAAAAAAAAACATGCAAAATAGTGTAAAAACACATACATAAAACTTATTTTTTTTGTTTGTTCGATTAAAAACCACTAGAGTTAAAACCATATCGAATCATCATCATTAGTACCCAATCATGAAATTATGAAGTGTCTCAAATCCGATAAGAAATAAAAATTTAAAATAGGCATGTAAAAGGTGTTAAAAAAACAATGACAGTGGTAGTGATGGTGATGCATATGAGCAGTCAATATGATAGAAAAAAAAACAAGAGCGTGAGCTTAGCAAATCCAACTAAAATCGTACAGTGCAATAAAAAGTTTCGTTGCCAGTAAGAATATAAAAAATTTTTAAACTAAACAAAAAAATAAAACACCAGAAAATAAAATAAATAATATGTATATATAGAATGAATATAAAATATGAAAAACGTAGCTGAAAAAAAAAAAATTTTAAATAACTTCTACATATTTTAAATATTAATCAAAAAAAAAAAAAAACACCAAACAAACAAATTAAGATCATGCGGCTATATTTTTAATTTTTAATTTTCCCCTAATACACACGAAAACCTCATCGACAAGAAGGCCTTCTTCGAGAAAAACAAAGTGGGTGAGTGAAAACAGAAAACAAATTATGTCGCCCAGTGTAAAGGCTGATTACCGGCATTAATGCTTATCAGCATCGATTGATTTTTGTTATTTTTTCAATTCCTCTTTTTTATTCTGATTCATGTTATCATCGTAAATTGAAAGCATTTAAATGTAAAGCCAAAACATGCGCTACACTGAGAAAATTAAAACCTAATTATTTTGTTATTTTTCATATACATATTTTCTTTTTTCAGCAAAAGAAACTGTTTTATTGTAATTGTGCGATGTAGGTTGTTGAAGCTAAACAAAAATAGAATAATAATAAAGAAATAAAATTATGTAGACCCAAAACAAAAAAAAAAAAACAACAAAAAAATAAAAACAATTAAATGGGTATAGTTATATTTTCAGAATATTTTCTAGCATCATAATTAGGCACCACATTACCATTATCATTGATTTACACTAAACAAAAAAGGATTATAATGACACTGAAAAAAAAAAATTAAATGATTAAATAAATAATTATCTTAACCATAAGTAAATAAAATAGGCTATGTAATGATAGATTAAACCCTATCATTACATAGCCTATTTTATTTACTTATGGTTAAGATAATTATTTATTTAATCATTTAATTTTTTTTTTACTAAATAAATAATAATAATACTAAATAAATAAATAATAAATACTAAATAAATAAATTAGGCATTGAAACCTAGCAGACATGTATGAAGAAAAATAATTATATTAGGACTTCGTTTGTTATTGTGAATTTGGAGAGATGTACACTGAAGAATATCGAAAAGGAATTTTTGTTTGATTATTAAAAATTATTATAATGATGATGAATTGTTAAGTTTTCTTATTTATGGCACGGGAGACCAACAAATTGATGCATACGTAAATACTTTTGGGGTCTTTCGCTAACGATTACAGAAGGACCATGGTTGGGAGGGTAAAGATATAGGGTGTGGCGAACAACACCTAAGGCCACCCCTGCAGGCTCAAACCCTAATTCGTGCTTTCTCGTTTCTCAATTTTTTTTCGCAGTTTAGTTTTGCCTTGTTTCATATTTTACTAATTATGAGACAATTGTTTTGTGTGTTGGTTTCGTATGAGGATCGTCTCATTGTGTAGATTCAGGAGGGACTCTATAAAAAAACCTTTGACGTAACAATCCTTATCCGCAGCAAACCCCTCCCCCCCTCACATCTCCCGCTAGAGCTAGGAATCAATGGGTCCCGCTCAGCTGCTGGTTAAGGGTCGACAAGCTTGAATGTGGTTAACACTCGGAGGTATGATCGAGAACAACGATACCCTGTTTATGTTTTCCCCTTTCAACGGCGTAATTACGTCACAATAAGCCGTGTAAAAACTAATATAAGTACAAATTCTGCCGTGGATACATGCATTATTAGCTGAGTAATGAACTTTTTGTTTACAAATTTACAATAGAGTATGCAAATGTATTAGCCATGTAAATACTAATATAAGTACAAATTCTGCCGTGGATACATGCATTATTAGCGGAGTTGTGAACTTTTTGTTTACAAATTTACAATTGAGTATGCAAATGTATTAGAATTGTAGGAATTAATTTAAATTTAAATTCTGCAAATTACAAAGGCTAAAGCGAAAAACGATTTCGTTTCAGCTCTGTCACTCGTTAGATCATACGTTGATGTTATTTGGTTGCAAGCTATTTTATTCCAAAGAATTTTCTTTTTCAGAATTAAATTTCTACGGTCGATGCCTATCAGCACTCGCTAATAATGGATCGCTTTCCAATAGTCTATTTAAAACTTACTAAAGCTTGATTTACAACTTTCAATAATCAGGGGTTAGTACCTATATAAAACAAACATTTAAGCACCTGCCTTTTAGCATTAGCGACTGCACGGTAAATCGAAGGGCTGATCGCACCTGCCTGTTGGGCGCCAAAAATCTATGTGACGTAATTTCGCCGTTGAAAGGGGAAAACATAAACAGGGTATCGTTGTTCTCGATCATACCTCCGAGTGTTAACCACATTCAGGCTTGTCGACCCTTAACCAGCAGCTGAGCGGGACCCATTGATTCCTAGCTCTAGCGGGAGATGTGGGGGGGGTTTTTGCTGCGGATAAGGATTGTTACGTCAAAGGTTTTTATTATAGAGTCCCTCCTGAATCTACACAATGAGACGATCCTCATTCGAAACCAACACACAAAACAATTGTCTCATAATTAGTAAAATATGAAACAAGGCAAAACTAAACTGCGAGAAAAAAAATTGAGAAACGAGAAAGCACGAATTAGTGTTTGAGCCTGCCGGGGTGGCCTTGGCTGTTGTTCGCCACACCCTATATCTTTACCCTCCCAACCATGGTCCTTCTTGTAATCGTTAGCGACAGACCCCAAAAGTATTTACGTATACATCAGTTTGTTAGTCTCCCATGCCATAAGTAAGAAAACTTAAAAATTCATCATCATTATAATAATTTTTAATAATCAAACAAAAATTCCTTTTCCATATTTTTCAGTGTACATATCTCCAATTAACAATAATAAACGAAGTCCTAATATAATTATTTTTCTTCATACATGTCTGCTAGATTTCAATGACTAATTTATTTATTTATTAATTATTAAACCCTATCATTACATAGCCTATTTTATTTACTTATGTTAATATAATTATTTATTTAATCATTTAAATTTTTTCCAGTGTCATTTTTAATTCTATTTTGTTTCGTTTAAAACAATGATAATGGTAAGGTGGTGCCTAATTATGATGCTATAAAATTATTAATTATGAAAATATAACTATGTCCATTTAATTGTTTTTATTTATTTATTTTTTTTTTTTTTGTTTTTGTTTCTTTTTGGGCCTACATAATTTTCTTTATTGTTATTCTATTTTTTTGTTTAGCTTCAACAACCTACATCGCACAATTACAATAAAACAGTTTTTATTGCTGAAAAAAGAAAATATGTATATGCAAAATAACAAAATAATTAGTTTTTAATTTTCTCAGTGTAGCGCATGTTTTGGCTTTACATTTAAATGCTTTAAATTTACGAGGATAACATGAATCACAATAAAAAAGAGGAATTGGAAAAATAACAAAAATCAATCGATGCTGATAAGCATTAATGCCGGTAATCAGCCTTTACACTGGGCGACATAAGTTGTTGTCTGTTTTCACTCACCCACTTTATAAAAACTTTTTAGTATTTTTTTAAATTAAAATGATACGCGCCTAAGAATAGTAGCGATAATTAGTATCGACCCCTTATCTGGCAACGTCTTAAAAATGACAGTTGAAACCACCAGCTGGTGAATACCGAAGTGCAAATCGGTGAAGGGTTCTTCGGGTCTCCAGCTTCTGGCTTCGATCTTTTCTATTGGAGTCGTCAAGCTGAGAAGTTGGTCCCGAACCCAGCAGGGAAAATATACGAGCGAGCATATGCACATGTGCTCCGGACCCTAATCCCACTGATATTTCGGCATCGGTTGAAAAAGGCCATCAACAAACGCCAATCTACCGGCTGCCAAAGATTGCCGTGTCGGCAAGGTAAATATTTTTTATAAAAAAATGTCCAAGCCGATCGATATATAATAAAATTTTCTTTGCACGTGTAGGTCACGCTTGTTTTCTTTGACTACACGGCGAGAAATCGCTAGGTCGATTGAGCAGAAAAAATACAAGAAAAGGAAGCACTGGGTAAATATTTCGAAACAATTCTTGGGCTCGTTTGCACAAGATTAATTAATTTAATTCCTGTAGCTAAACGAGGCAGCAGAGCAGATTGGTTACGCTATTCAGCGCCGGCCAAAAAAAGGCGGCTGGAGCAGTTATCTCTGCTGGGGAAAATTTATTTGGAGTTCGCAGCAGCTTGGAGCACAGAAAAACCCACAAAAAGTGACCCAAAAATAAACGTGTAACACACAGTGCAGATTAAAAAAATTTAAAATTAAAAGCCCTTAAAATCTAGTGACAAATTAAAAGTTAACGAAGACGAGGAAATGGGTTAAAACAACTCATAAAATACACGACTAGCTAAAATGTAAAATCTTAAGAAAAAAACCCGACCTCAAAACAGAGAAAAAAAAAACATGCAAAATAGTGTAAAAACACATACATAAAACTTATTTTTTTTGTTTGTTCGATTAAAAACCACTAGAGTTAAAACCATATCGAATCATCATCATTAGTACCCAATCATGAAATTATGAAGTGTCTCAAATCCGATAAGAAATAAAAATTTAAAATAGGCATGTAAAAGGTGTTAAAAAAAACAATGACAGTGGTAGTGATGGTGATGCATATGAGCAGTCAATATGATAGAAAAAAAAACAAGAGCGTGAGCTTAGCAAATCCAACTAAAATCGTACAGTGCAATAAAAAGTTTCGTTGCCAGTAAGAATATAAAAAATTTTTAAACTAAACAAAAAAATAAAACACCAGAAAATAAAATAAATAATATGTATATATAGAATGAATATAAAATATGAAAAACGTAGCTGAAAAAAAAAAATTTTAAATAACTTCTACATATTTTAAATATTAATCAAAAAAAAAAAAACAAACCAAACAAACAAATTAAGATCATGCGGCTATATTTTTAATTTTTAATTTTCCCCTAATACACACGAAAACCTCATCGACAAGAAGGCCTTCTTCGAGAAAAACAAAGTGGGTGAGTGAAAACAGAAAACAAATTATGTCGCCCAGTGTAAAGGCTGATTACCGGCATTAATGCTTATCAGCATCGATTGATTTTTGTTATTTTTTCAATTCCTCTTTTTTATTCTGATTCATGTTATCATCGTAAATTGAAAGCATTTAAATGTAAAGCCAAAACATGCGCTACACTGAGAAAATTAAAACCTAATTATTTTGTTATTTTTCATATACATATTTTCTTTTTTCAGCAAAAGAAACTGTTTTATTGTAATTGTGCGATGTAGGTTGTTGAAGCTAAACAAAAATAGAATAATAATAAAGAAATAAAATTATGTAGACCCAAAACAAAAAAAAAAAAAAACAACAAAAAAATAAAAACAATTAAATGGGTATAGTTATATTTTCAGAATATTTTCTAGCATCATAATTAGGCACCACATTACCATTATCATTGATTTACACTAAACAAAAAAGGATTATAATGACACTGAAAAAAAAAAATTAAATGATTAAATAAATAATTATCTTAACCATAAGTAAATAAAATAGGCTATGTAATGATAGATTAAACCCTATCATTACATAGCCTATTTTATTTACTTATGGTTAAGATAATTATTTATTTAATCATTTAATTTTTTTTTTTACTAAATAAATAATAATAATACTAAATAAATAAATAATAAATACTAAATAAATAAATTAGGCATTGAAACCTAGCAGACATGTATGAAGAAAAATAATTATATTAGGACTTCGTTTGTTATTGTGAATTTGGAGAGATGTACACTGAAGAATATCGAAAAGGAATTTTTGTTTGATTATTAAAAATTATTATAATGATGATGAATTGTTAAGTTTTCTTATTTATGGCACGGGAGACCAACAAATTGATGCATACGTAAATACTTTTGGGGTCTTTCGCTAACGATTACAGAAGGACCATGGTTGGGAGGGTAAAGATATAGGGTGTGGCGAACAACACCTAAGGCCACCCCTGCAGGCTCAAACCCTAATTCGTGCTTTCTCGTTTCTCAATTTTTTTTTCGCAGTTTAGTTTTGCCTTGTTTCATATTTTACTAATTATGAGACAATTGTTTTGTGTGTTGGTTTCGTATGAGGATCGTCTCATTGTGTAGATTCAGGAGGGACTCTATAAAAAAACCTTTGACGTAACAATCCTTATCCGCAGCAAACCCCCCCCTCACATCTCCCGCTAGAGCTAGGAATCAATGGGTCCCGCTCAGCTGCTGGTTAAGGGTCGACAAGCTTGAATGTGGTTAACACTCGGAGGTATGATCGAGAACAACGATACCCTGTTTATGTTTTCCCCTTTCAACGGCGTAATTACGTCACAATAAGCCGTGTAAAAACTAATATAAGTACAAATTCTGCCGTGGATACATGCATTATTAGCTGAGTAATGAACTTTTTGTTTACAAATTTACAATAGAGTATGCAAATGTATTAGCCATGTAAATACTAATATAAGTACAAATTCTGCCGTGGATACATGCATTATTAGCGGAGTTGTGAACTTTTTTGTTTACAAATTTACAATTGAGTATGCAAATGTATTAGAATTGTAGGAATTAATTTAAATTTAAATTCTGCCGTGGATACGTGCATTATTAGCTGAGATGTGAACTTTTTGTTTACAAATTTACAATTGAGTATGCAAATGTTTTAGGATTGTAAGAACTAATTTAAATATAAATTCTGAAGTGGATACATACATTATTAGCTGAGTATGCAAATGTATTAGACGTGTAAAAACTAATATAAGTACAAATTCTGCCGTGGATTCATGCATTATTAGCTGAGTTGTGAACTTTTTGTTTACAAATTTACAATTGAGTTTGCAAATGTATTAGCCTTCTAAAAACTAATCTAAGTACAAATTCTGCCGTGGATACATGCATTATTATCGGAGTTGTGAACTTTTTGTTTACAAATTTAAAATTGAGTATGCAAATGTATTAGAATTGTAAGAACTAATTTAAATATAAATTGTGCCGTGGATACATGCATATTTAGCTGAGTTGTGAACTTTTTGTTTACAAATTTACAATTGAGTATGCAAATGTATAAGCCGTGTAAAAGCTAATATAAGTACAAATTTTGCCGTAGATTCATGCATTATTAGCTGAGTTGTGAATTTTTTGTTGTTTACAAATTTACAATTGAGTTTGCAAATGTATTAGCCTTCTAAAGACTAATCTAAGTACAAATTCTGCCGTGGATACATGCATTATTATCGGAGTTGTGATCTTTTTGTTTACAAATTTAAAATTGAGTATGCAAATGTATTAGAATTGTAAGAACTAATTTAAATATAAATTGTGCCGTGGATACATGCATATTTAGCTGAGTTGTGAACTTTTTGTTTATAAATTTACAATTAAGTATGCAAATGTATTAGCCATGTAAAAACTAATATAATTACAAATTCTGAAGTGGATATATGCATTGTTATCTGAGTTGTGAACTTTTTTGTTTACAAATTTACAATTAAGTATGCAAATGTATTAGACGTGTAAAAACTAATATAAATATAAATTCTGAAGTGGATTCAGGCATTATTAGCTGAGTTGTGAACTTTTTGTTTACAAATTTACAATTGAGTATGCAAATGTATAAGCCGTGTAAAAACTAATATAAGAAAAAATTCTGCCGTGGATACATGCATTATTAGCTGAATTGTGAACTTTTTGTTTACAAATTTACAATTGAGTTTGCAAATGTATTAGCATTCTAAAAACTAATCTAAGTACAAATTCTGCCGTGGATACATGCATTATTAGCGGAGTTGTGAACTTTTTGTTTACAAATTTACAATTGAGTATGCAAATGTATAAGAATTGTAAGAAATAATTTAAATATAAATTATGCCGTGGATACATGCATTATTAGCTGAGATGTGAACTTTTTGTTTACAAATTTACAATTGAGAGTGCAAATGTATAAGCCGTGTAAAAACTATTATAAATACAAATTCTGAAGTGGATACAGACATTATTAGCTGAGCAGTAAACTTTTTGTTTACAAATTTACAATTGAGTATGCAAATGTATTAGCCATGTGAAAACTATTATAAATACAAATTCTGAAGTGGATACAGACATTATTAGCTGAGCAGTAAACTTTTTGTTTACAAATTTACAATTGAGTATGCAAATGTATTAGCCATGTAAAAACTATTATAAATACAAATTCTGAAGCGGATACAGACATTATTAGCTGAGTATGCAAATGTATTAGACGTGTAAAAACTAATGTAAATATAAATTCTGAAGTGGATTCAGGCATTATTAGCTGAATTGTGAACTTTTTATTTACAATTTACAATTGAGTATGCAAATGTATAAGCCGTGTAAAAACTAATATAAGTACAAATTCTGCCGTGGATACAGACATTATTAGCTGAGCAGTAAACTTTTTGTTTACAAATTTACAATTGAGTATGCAAATGTATTAGCCATGTAAAAACTATTATAAATACAAATTCTGAACTGGATACAGACATTATTAGCTGAGTATGCAAATGTATTAGACGTGTAAAAACTAATGTAAATATAAATTCTGAAGTGGATTCAGGCATTATTAGCTGAATTGTGAACGTTTTATTTACAATTTACAATTGAGTATGCAAATGTATAAGCCGTGTAAAAACTAATATAAGAACAAATTCTGCCGTGGATACATGCATTATTAGCTGAGTTGTGAACTTTTTGTTTTCAAATTTACAATTGAGTATGCAAATGTATTAGCCGTGTAGAAATTATTATAAATACACATTCTGAAGTGGATACAGACATTATTAACTGAGTTATGAACTTTTTGTTTACAATTTACAATTGAGTGCGCAAATGTATAAGCCGTGTAAAAACTTATATAAGTAGAAATTCTGCCGTGGATACATGCATTATTAGCTGAGTAATGAACTTTTTGTTTACAAATTTACAATAGAGTATGCAAATGTATTAGCCATGTAAAAACTAATATAAGTACAAATTATGCCGTGGATACATGCATTATTAGCTGAGTTGTGAACTTTTTGTTTACAAATTTACAATTGAGTATGCAAATGTATTAGCCATGTAAAATCTAATATAATTACAAATTCTGAAGTGGATATATGCACTTTTATCTGAGTTGTGAACTTTTTGTATACAAATTTACAATTGAGTATGCAAATGTATTAGCCATGTAAAAACTAATATAATTACAAATTCTGAAGTGGATATATGCACTATTATCTGAGTTGTGAACTTTGTGTTTACAAATTTACAATTAAGTATGCAAATGTATTAGACGTGTAAAAACTAATATAAATATAAATTCTGAAGTGCATTCAGGAATTATTAGCTGACTTGTGAACTTTTTGTTTACAAATTTACAATTGAGTATGCAAATGTATAAGCCGTGTAAAAACTAATATAAGTACAAATTCTGCCGTGGATACATGCATTATTAGCTGAGTTGTGAACTTTTTGTTTTCAAATTTACAATTGAGTATGCAAATGTATTAGTCGTGTAAAAACTATTATAAATAAAAATTCTGAAATGGAATCAGGCATTATAAGCGGAGTTGTGAACTTTTTATTTACAAATTTACAAT